CCAGCATGGCTGGCTGGGGAATTCTGGGAGTTGAAGTCCACACCTCTTAAAGAGGCCAAGGTTGAAAAACACTGATGTGGGGAATCAAAATGACACCATAACAAGTCAATTGATTATCCTGCAGCTCCCCCCACCCTCTGCAATTCCTGCTGAATCTTGTCTTGAATTCAGGCTGTGTAGAGAGGTAAATCTGCTCTGTTCCTTGCATGATGTGGAAGAGTCCAGATTCAGTGGGCCACCTCTGGTGTCAGCAGTGGGATCACTTCCCACCCAGCTGAGGACAAGTTCACTTGTGGGCCTGCTAGAGAACGGCATGTCACCCGCATTCAATCCACTTGCTAACGTTCAGCAGTTGCATGGAACTTCAACTCCTCCCATGCCTGAGCATCTGGGCTGGGGATGATGGGAGTTAGAACCCAACCACGTGACCTGTCCGCCGCATAGCACAAGGGCCATCCTCTTCAAGTAGAGCTGACCCACCTAGTTTGCTCTTCCTAAGGTGAGATGCTGAGGGACCCCCCCATTCCTGAGATTTGGAGGGGGGGGACCCTATTTCTTCCCCAGAAGTTTGAATGGCTTCCCCAGACGGTCTTGAGGACGGCAGAGAAGACGGAGCAATTCTGCAGAGCTTTTGACCCCGAGGGTAGAGTTAGGCTGTGGGTGTTGGGTGGAGTGAGGATCAGATGCCAAAGTTAATTTTGGAACCTGTTTTACGGGCCGATTGGTTTTAGAGATCTCGTGAACTGCCAGGAGCCCTTGCACAACAACATATAAAATCCTCGTAAATAGAAAAATATCAGGAGAGCTGGTCCCAAAGCTATCCAGAGGTGCAGAGAGAGAAAAAGGCAGTTCCGTGCAGTGGTTAGATCCGTCTAGATCAAGTAGAGCTGACCCACCTAGTTTGCTCTTCCTCAGGTGAGATGCTGAGAGACGGTGAGTTCTAGTCCTGCCTTAGGCATGAAAAGTGGCTGGTTGACTTTGGGCCAGTCCCTCTCTCTCAGCCCAACAGGGTTGTTGTTGGGAGCATTATATACGCCACCTTGACTTGTACAAATGAAGAGCAGCAGAAAAAAATGACATTATACTGCATCTGCAGGTTTCCTGATTCCTTGGCGGCCCCCAGCCTGGAAGAGCGGGCAGTGCGCTGGCAGTTCACCCACCTGGACAGAGATTTCAGCAACAGCATAAGCGAGCGGGAGCTGCGCCCGCTCAAGCTGTACATGAAACACAACGCCCGGCCCAAACGCTGCGTCCGCAAGTTTCTGGATTACTGCGACCTCAACGGCAACAAGCTGATCTCGCTGCCGGAGTTCAGAGGCTGTCTGGGGCTCAGCTAACCCCCCGGTGTGTATTTAGTGGCAGCGGGCCTTCGCAGACCCCCCTTTCCGCTGGCAACTCAAGGGGGAGGGCCCATGAAGGTCTCCCCTAATGGGCTGAAAGAGGACTGGCCCGAGGTCCCTCAAATAGGATCTGAACCTGGGTCTCTAATGCTCCAAATCAAGCATCTAAACCAGCACTCTGCGCGCCTGCCAGGAACCTCTTAATCTGTGCACCTTTCTGCCTAACTAAGCCCTGTGTTCAGGAAACACTCCCTTCCCCGCAGGCAATCTTCTCGGAGCGGTTAAGCCAGGTTCCCAGTTCTCAGGAGCCCACACATCGGCTTGAAAGAGCCAAGCATCTCCTATTAAAAGCTAGGAATTCAGTAGAGGCATTTTTAGTGTCCGGGGCAGCGCTGCAGTTTTCCAGCACTCTCCAATTCAGAATTAGGTTGGGGCTGGAACTGGAGGAACTGTCAAGGGCACGGCTGCAGCAGGCATCTTGACTTTTTTGACCCCCCACGCAGGGGCCTTGTTTGCAAGCCACCTTCTCTGTATTTGGTGCTACCAACAAATTTGGGAACTGCTGGATTTAGCAAGGCCTGGAACAAAATTAGTCCTCCTTCAAAG